TTTCTTTCTTTCTTTCTTTCCTTCCTCCCTCCCTCCCTCCCTCCCACCTTTCTTTCTTTCTTTCTTTCTTTCTTTCTTTCTCTCTCTCTCTCCGGCAGGTGTGGTGGGGCTGGGCTGGGGAGGGGAGGGGGCTCCTCCCGCTCCAATTGGGTCCCCCCCACCCACCCTCTTTTCAGAAAGAGCGCCCGAAAGGAAAGGAAGGACGGAGCAAGCTTTTCCCCCCCCGCGGGAGGGGGGAGGATCCGGCGCTGGTTGCCCCCCTCCCTTTCCCGGGCGGGGCTCTCCCCCTCCCCTCCCCTCTCCCGGTGGGCTTCAGTGTGTGTGTGGGGGGTCCGTTCCTGTTCAAAGCCAGCCCTGCGCCTTGTGGGGGGGGGTCGGGAGACCCAGCGAAGGAAGCCCCCCGACCCTAAACGGGGGCAGACCCCTTTCCTGGGGGAGGGAGGGAGGGAGGGGGGGTCTCCCGGGGTCTCCCCCCCCGGCCCCCTCCTGCACCCGTCTCCAAGAAAGGGAAAGTGGAGGGGCGTTCCGCGGGAGGAATGGATCCCTCTCTACAACAGGGGCGGAATCCCCTCTCGGAGGCAGCCTGCATGGGGCGGCGGACCCCTTTCCTGGGGGGGGGCTGGGGTGTCGTCTCACCGGCCCCTCCCGCCCTGGGGATTCAGGGGCTGGGGTTCAGGGGGTCCCCCTTAATCCCCCGATTAAGACCGCGGTGAAATTGGGCGAGGATGACAACGGCAGAGAGCGAAGGACTGGCAGGGCCACTTGGGGGGGGGGAGATCGCTGGAGGGGGGGGGTCAGGGCTGGTCCGAGTCAGCTCTGCTCGGGGGGGGGGTGAGGGAGGATGCTGGGCCTTTGAGGGTCTCCCTGGAATCCTGTGGCAGCCAGCCCGGATCCCCCCCTTTGCTTCGAGCAGGGGGCTGGACTAGAAGACCTCCGAGGCCCCTTCCCACTTTTTTTATTCTGTGATTCTCTGAAGGTCTCCTGCTCGAGCAGGGGGCTGGACTAGATGACCTCCGAGGTCCCTTTCAACTCAGTGATTCTGTAAAGGTCGTCCTGCTCGAGTAGGGGGTTGGTCTAGATGACCTCCGAGGTCCCTTCCCACTTTTTTTTATTCTGTGATTGTTTGAGGGTCTCCTGCTCGAGTGGACTAGATGACCTCCGAGGTCCCTTTCAACTCAGCGATTCTTTAAGGGTCTCCTGCTCGAGCAGGGGGCTGGACTAGAAGACCTCCGAGGTCCCTTCCCACTTTTTTTTATTCTGTGATTGTTTGAGGGTCTCCTGCTCGAGTGGACTAGATGACCTCCGAGGTCCCTTTCAACTCAGCGATTCTTTAAGGGTCTCCTGCTCGAGCAGGGGGCTGGTCTAGATGACCTCCGAGCTCCCCTCCAGCTCTTCTATTCTGTGATTCTATCAGGGTCGTCCTGCTCGAGCAGGGGGTTGGGCTAGATGACCTCCGAGGTCCCGTCCAACTCGGTTACTCCCTGATTCTGTAAGGGTCTGCTGCTCCAGCAGGGGGTTGGTCTAGATGACCTCCGAGGTTCCCTCCAGCTCTTTTATTCTGTGATTCTATCAGGGTCTCCTGCTCGAGCAGCGGGTTGGACTAGATGACCTCCGAGGTCCCGTCCAACTCGGTTACTCCCTGATTCTGTAAGGGTCTGCTGCTCGAGCAGGGGGTTGGACTAGATGACCTCCCAGGTGGCGTGAAACTCGGTTACTCCCTGATTTTGTAAGGGTCTGCTGCTCGAGCAGGGGGTTGGTTTCGATGACCTCCCAGGTCCCTTCCCACATTTTTCATTCTGTGATTCTGTGAGGGTCTCCAGCTCCAGCAGGGGGTTGGACTGGAAGACCTCCCAGGTCCCTTTGAACTCCACGATTCGGTCAGGGTCTCCTCCTGCTCGAGCACGGGGTTGGTCTAGATGACCTCCGGGGTCCCCTCCCACTCGTCTATGCCGTGATTCTATCAGGGTCTCCTGCTCGAGCAGGGGGCTGGACTAGATGACCTCCGAGGTCCCTTTCAAGTCAGCGATTCTGTCAGGGTCGTCCTGCTCGAGCAGAGGGTTGGTCTAGATGACCTCCGGGGTCCCCTCCAGCTCTTCTATTCCATGATTCTATCAGGGTCTCCTGCTCGAGCAGGGGGCTGGACTAGATGACCTCCGAGGTCCCTTTCAACTCAGTGATTCTGTCAGGGTCGTCCTGCTCGAGCAGGAGGCTGGTCTGGATGACCTCCGAGGTCCCTTCCCACTTTTTTATTCTGTGATTCTATCAGGGTCTTCTGCTCGA